GGTGTACATCTAGCAGAGGATCTCACATGGTCAGTACAGGTCAGTACACATAAACAAAACAGTGAAGAAGGCGCAGCAGCGCCTCTTCTTTCTCAGGAGACTAAAAAAGATTTGGCATGAGCCCCCGCATCCTCAGGACCTTCTACCGCAGTGCCATTGAGAGCATCCTCACTGGATGCATCACCACCTGGTATGGCAACAGCACTGCTTACAACTGCAAAGGTCTTCAGAGAGTGGTGCAGTGTGCCGAAAGGATAATTGGATGTGAGATTATCTCCCTCCAGGACATCTACAGGAAGCGGTGCCTGAGGAAAGCGGGGAGGATCATCAAGGACTGGGGAAAAGACTGTCTTGAATACCATGTTGCTGCCACAGTGACCCATCTTAACCCTTTATTTAAAAATGAAGTGAAAGTTGTTAAGAGTAAAAGCTTTTTTGGAGGCTTGTTTAGCACACATTAAAACCAGATTACCTGCAGAAGAGCCAAACACAAACACAATGCCCCGGCAATCTGGCTGCACTGTGGGTAGACCCACACAGTCCATTATTGGCAGCCCACTGTAGCAAGTACTAGCATAAAATGAGGGCACACCTGGACCCCACTGTGGGTCTGCAGCATACCCACGGTGTGGACCCAGGTGTGCCCCACATTTCAGACTGAGACCCAGTGGGCTGACTACCTGGCCACCACAATCCAGGGCACATTACCACCGCCAACTGGTATGGAGTGTGACTCTTAATTTTTCAATGAATATTTAAAAAAAGCAAATTTTAGCCGCTTCCTTAAGTATAATTTATGTCTTGAAATTGTGTCAGTCTGCGTACACATTTCCGTTTGAACTGAGAGGGGTTTTCACTCACCACAGATGCGCTCCTGTGCAGTTCTCCAAAATCTCCACTATCCGTAGGCGTTGGATCTGCCAAATCCTGATTGGTTGATAAGTGGGCTGGAAGAGGGAAGAGAGCAACAGCGGCGTTCAGCAGGAACTGGAGACACACAAAGCAAACACTGAAGCTCAAAAATAAAGCATGAAAAGCACAGACAGTGTCTGCAGTGGACACTTTTTATTATTTTTAAAACGTGATTTCATTTCAGCTCTTTGTAACTTTGCCCTTTTCCTGGGATGGCAGACAGACCAACAACAGCTGACGAACCAACAAAGAGTGAAAGTGACCCACAGGCCAGCTGTACCACATATTTTGTGTGCTGCCTCTATCTATAACAGAGCGTGCTGTAGGTAGACGGGCCATGTAGTTTGACCTATCAGCCTCGACAAAACAAGCGATATAAAGGCATAAATCAATACAGTTCCAGCCATTAACAATTGTGAAGCTGTTTTGGAAACTACTAAACAACTTATAACCAATCCCCATCCCAAGGTCCAACCCAATATATATTATTGGCTGTGGCTACAATGTAGCTTGCCATCACCAGTGTGTGAATGGGTGTGTGAATGTGTGGATGACTGGTTGTGTAAAGCGCTTTGGGGTCCTTAGGGACTAGTAAAAGCGCTATAGAAATACAGACCATTTACCATTTAAAAAAAAGATACTCAAAATTAGGCAAGTCCAGTTGTTTTCAAGGAATTAAAATAAATGATAAAAAACTGCCACATCTGTAAAAACTTATTAGTGTTCCCTCTGAGTCTGAATTAGATTTTTTCCAGTTTTTATAAAAAAAAACCATTTAACATATTTCAGCCAAAGTGATGTAGCTGCAGGATGAAGAGCTTTCAAGGACAGCAAAATTCTACAGTGCACCAACAGTGACTGCATGTATAAATGAATGTAAACCACTTCACTGTGGATCCACTTGCCCTCAAAGGGGTGAAAAAACCCAACAACAATAAACTCAAATCCTATCAAACAAATAAGCCTGACTTGAAAATATGAAAATTGGACATTCTCTGATATCTTTTACTTCTTGCCTGTGTTGACCTATACAGGATAAACAACAGTTTTGCCTGTTGGGGTCCCTTTGTGGGTTTTCTGTGGGCAAACACACTATGGGTTGACCCACAGAAAACCGTCATGGGGGCCCTGTGGGCCCTGTGGGCCCTGTGGGCTAAAAACACCATGGCACCCACACAGGATGACCACAGGGGGGCCAATGAGCGTTTTTGGTGGGCAAGCCAACTGTGCAACGTCACCCATTTATGTAGTATAACATGAAACTAGTGGTCAAGCCCATAAAGTCAATGAAATCATTCACTGAGGTCACAGAGCGGGGAATTATAGGGACATTTTTTTCACAATGTGCTTCCACTTGAGTCGCCCCCTGGTGGTAATTATGAACATTGCAGATTTTGTCTTTAACATGGACAATATCAGAGTCAGAGAGGAGGAAAATCCAGGGTATTCTCATTGACTAATGACCCCGTGGCACGCTCACTTTCACAGTCATATCCACGCCTCGTAGTTTCAAAACACTAAGATGGCAAAAACACTCTGTTTGGCTTTCAGCAGTGGGTGGCGTAATGGGGGCACATTTTTTAGTCTTTTTTACCAATCTGTCAAAGAGGTAACTCAGAGAGCCAGACAACCGTTCATGCTCATGATCACACAGTCAATTTAGAATCACCAGTTAACCTAACTCAATGCATGCCTTTGGGCTGTGGGAGGAAGCGGGAGCATCCGGAGAGAACCCATACGTACATGGGGAGAACAAGCAAACTCCATACAGAAAAGCCCCAGACTGAATTCAAACCCACAACCTTCCTGCAATGAGGCGGCAGTGGACTGAAATGACAATTATGTAGGGACCTCAGCATTGGAGGGGACCCACAAAAATTAATTCATGCTAATTTTTAGAATTTGTCTCAATGTCCTTTAGGTCGAGTCAAGACAGCCACATAAAGGCAACGAAGACCGGAAAACAAAATCTATCACCCCTATTTTTTATTTATTTTAAACTTTTTTCATGCAATTAAGCATTTCAGTTCACCAGTGTCATGAAAAGAATAAACTGTGTAACTGTAGTTTATAGAAAGTACCTTTAAAAAACAATCAAGAAAAATCCTTAGATATGAGAGCCCAGCTGCACAGTGTGAACATGAATCCCAGCGATCTTTATGCAGTCTCATACCTGACGGATTATTAATCTGATGACAAAACCAGATTCTTAAACCTGGAATTTTTTCAAATATCTCCACTGAGGTCAGCAAAACTACCGAGCTTCTCTGTTTTTCGCCGAGACGTGACCCAGTCCTTCGGTTTCACGGTTCTACTTCATGCTGTTATTCTAGCTGTATGTGGTATTAATAATAACAGTTTGCTGTTGTTAATCCTTTGACACAAACAAACTGAACTGAACTAATGAAGCATTCAGGCGTTTCATTCAACGACTAACATTCAAAAAAATAAGGTGAGAAAAAGGAAGTGTGAAACGTGTGTGTGTGTGTGTGTGTGTGTGTGTGTGTGTGTGTGTGTGTGTGTGTGTGTGTGTGTGTGATGTAATGCAATGCAATGCTTCACATTTGTCATAGTTCAGACAGGAAAATGACTCATTTTAGTCAAAGCCACAAAGAAATACTCACTTAGGACTTCCTGTAGTGAAATGAAAGTCATACGAGGTCTTTACACACATCAGTCCTGCAGGATGTAAAACAAGTATAAAATGTGGTAAGCATAAAAATTAATATAAAATAAGTTAAAATATGATGAAATCTCTTAATATATTACAATAAAGTGTGTCTTTCAGGTTACATAGCTCAATGCATTGCAGGAAACATTAATTGCAATGTGAAAAGGACATTTTATAACCATAATACATCTACATGTTTTCAAAACTCTGTTTGTATTTGGATTCCATCACAGCAATCTCAGCACTGCCCAAAATAACTGTGGTTTCAATCAAGAAGCTCTAGTTCTAATAATGTCCTATTTTCTGACTGATAGTTAAAACAAAAAACAACAACAATCTGGAGTTTGTCATGCAGGAAATTATATTTAACCAGGAAACGGTCACAGTGGAGAAGCTGACACTTTGCATGTAAGAATGACCGATCTGATGTAATACACTGTTACAAATTATGGTATAGAGAAGAGTAATATTTGGATTTCCTGGTTATTTTTGGTGATTTAATAATCAAAAAGTACATTTTATGCTTGAGTAATTATCATTAACCCCCCAAACAAAGAATTTATATTATTTTTTTACTGAATTTTTACTGGGCTTCATAAATAAAAAATAATGCATATAAACAAAATAAATAAATTGGAAATTTTGGCCAAGCAAAGACTCCAATCTGGCCCCACTGGGCAGCTTTTGAAAATGTGAAGGAATAAATTTCGGACTGTTAACTGCATTTTTCTACGTTTTACAGCTGTATTTTCCACAGATAAAGACCTCTCCCATGGCCATTTATGCTTAACCAAACTAATTAGGTAATAGGTAAAAAAAATAGAGTGATAAGAGATGTTGCTGTTTTTACTACTACAGAAATGTCTGTTTGTTACAAAGGATGCACAATTTTGCCAAATTTGTACCATTTTCTGCAAAAAGCTTTCTCTTTTATAATATCAGGATAGTCAATAAACTACCAAAACTTTTTTTCCAGTCATTTTACATTTTATATCTTTATGTCTTACAATTTAAACTCGGAGTCATGCTGATAGATTTTTTTCATTTACCACGACAGCTTTTCTTTATCATGTAGAAAACCTGAGATGTCCTTTTATCTGTCGGTCCGGTCCTAAGACATCTCGAGGATTAAATGTGTAATTAAACTGATTTAAACTGTCAGAAAGGGGAATTTCACTGGTGTGGTCCACTTGTGATCAAATGGGGGTGTATGTGGCTCACGAGGTAAAACATTTGTTCAAAAAAAAAGAAGTAAAAAGTGAAGAAAAAAAGTTTTAAAACAGTGCATTTATTTGGGCTTTTATTTCGGTAGTACGGAGCGGAAGCAGCTAGCTTGTTTTAGGCGGAAGCGCTGAAAGACTCAAACCTGTAGTTTGAGAGAGTTTTTGAAGTGATTGAACAGGTTCGTTCCGGGCGGTTCTGATGTGATCCAGGTCCTTGTGTGAATCTGATACCCTACAGACCACCCAGAGTTCCCCGCGGTGGCCGCTGTCATCGGTTAGCCTATTAGCTTCAGCGTGGACTAACTTGTAGGAGTTAGGTAAAGATGTCGGGAGGAGACCCGAGGGCCGTATTGTACTACAACCTGCCCGCCTCCGTTGACTGTGAGTTCTGCCGCATCATGGACGGGCTGTCAAACCAGGACTGGACCCGCTTTGGTGAGTCAGAACCCGAACTTTGACTGAGAGCTAAAGGCCAGCAGCTTGGGGTAGGAGGGACGGTGGAGTCCACCGTTAATTGGGTGTTTCACCAAAATAAACTCTAGCGTGTTTATTCTGTGTAACAACTTTAACTGCTGCCATGTGAAATCACTACAGAAAATGAGAATTAAACAAGCTGTGAGAGCCTCAGCTGTGATCCATCCTTCTCAGTCTGCCCTCAGGTACAGGCTTACCTGTCCCAACTATTTCCACAAAGTTGTAAAATATATAATACTATTAATAAAAGATTGCTTTAGCGTGAGTGTCAACTGAGATTAAATCAGGTACAGTTTTCTTCCGATATTAGGTCACATTTTGACTACAGTTAGCCTAAATATAGATAAATTCACCGGTGGCTGTTTTGAGGAAGTCTCTGGTAGACGTTATCTGTAAGTGCTCTTGGTTAATATTGAGTAAATACGGAGCACAAGAATGTGACAGAAACTGAAATGCCTGTGTGTTCTGACGCATAATGAAATGTGATTAGAAACAGTTTGAGGTTTCTCAAAAAATCCAGAAGTTTTCAGTTTTACTGTAAACTCTCTTAACTAAGGTTGTGCGGGTTTTATTTGACTAAAAATTAGGTAGAGCTCTGTTATGTTGGTGTACTATGTTGAGCTCAGGTGACTTGAAAATCTTAAGTTTTCTTCGAATGAAATACACTTTTAAAGTTTTACATTGTATAAGCAGCATTTGGTGATGGTGGGGAGGAAGACCTCTGGCAGCTTCTCTTCTACTGAAATAGAAGTTTTACAGAAAAACGACAAAGTAAAATTTAAGCATTAGAGAACATTCACAGCTGTCAAAGTGGAACACTGAAAAGAAATACTAGAGCAGTTAGAGTTGGGAGAAAAGACGATTTAAAAAAGATTTAGATGTAGGGCTCAGAAACTGTATACAGATGATGGAGCCAGGCATTGTGATGTTATTTTGAAGCCTCACCTTTAGTGTTTTGGCCACCTGCACCTTTTCTCTGATATCACCATCAGTTCCAATTTGCATCACCCTCGCAGCCATCAAAGGCAGCTACTTGTGATCCCCGAGACATCGCGCCTTATCCTGGTCAATATAAGCCACAAAGTTTAAAATGGTAAATGTCCTGTATCTGTATAGCGCTTTATTTAGTCCCTAAGGACCCCAAAGCGCTTTACACGTTCAGTCATCCACCCATTCACACACACATTCACACACAGGTGATGGCAGCTACAGTTGTAGCCACAGCCACCCTGGGGCGCACTGACAGAGGCGAGGCTGCCGGACACTGGCGCCAACGGGCCCTCTGACCACCACCAGTAGGCAACGGGTGAAGTGTCTTGCCCAAGGACAGAACGACCGAGTCCGAGCTGGGGCTCGAACCGGCAACCTTCCGATTACAAGATGAGCTGCCAACTCTTGAGCCACGCTCGCCCCTAAGGAAAATCAGTTTTTGATACTCGTTTTTTTGTTTTAACCGTGAAGGTTGGCTTGTTGTAGCTGTCAAAAAAGAGAGACAAAGTACCACTAATGTGGGCTGTTCTAGCTCATATTTTTTGCTGTTGCTGGTAATTTCATTTTTGCCCTGCTGTGGAGACGGCAGAACAAGCACTTCTTTGAAATGAAATGAAACCAGTTGTTAGAACAATAAATTGCCATCGCCCGTGCTTTTCCTGTTTGCTCCTTTGGTCTATGTTGGGTTTTTTGCACTTCCTCCTTGTGGTAAACTCTGGTCATTTTTTTTTTTTTTTTTTTTGAACTGAAAAGCATCGGGCCCAGTTGTTGTGTATCCCACCCACATCAGGTGATGGAGTTGTGATTTGTGGCGGACAGCACGTGCGTTAATTATGTCCTTGAAATCTTTCAGATGAACTCTAATGCAACACTGCAGATGAAGCACGAGTCACAAGTGTTAACCAACAGATAAAGATGTTAAAAAAAAAAAAAAGGGCAAATGTTGCACACTGAGTAAGACAAATAAGATCACATGCCTCAACATACAGTATGTGAGGTTCCATAAGTATTTGGAGTAATTTTTTTTCCTGTATTTTTGTGTTCTCGCCTCTGTACACTACCACGGTGAAATTGTAAAACAATCATCAAGATGTGATTCTGGTGCAGACTTTCAGCTTTAATTCGAGCGCTTTTAAAAAAGAACTGCGCTAGCTTTCAAGGAGTTACTGCCATTTTTACCCCTCAGCCGTAAAAGGCGGACGATCTGATATCCTCGTGTTGGTGTTGTTCCCTCGTCATCATAAATAATGTTGTTCCAGGTTCAACTATGCAAGTGACCAATCACCTTCTCCTGACGTCATCCGCGACCTCAAAAAACAAACGCCTTCAAAAAATCTACTTCACTTGCGAGAAGAGAAACCGCTTCTGTAAGGACAATATGTATAATGTTTACTGTTTATTAAAGAAAAGTATCCTGAAATTCAAAGAATTCAAGTTCCTGGATCGGCGGACAGAAGCGGTTTCTCTTCTCTCAAGTGAAGTAGATTTTTTTTTTTTAAGGCGGTATTTTTCAAAGGCACAAAAGAGGGACGTCACAACTATGTGATTGGTCACTTGCAATGTTGAACCTGGAACAACATTTATTATGATGATGTGGGAACAACACCGACACGAGGATATCAGATCATCCGTAAAAGGCTGATGGGAATTGTCATTGCCCCGACCAGGCGGGTGGCGTGGACACCCAAGTTTATGATAACGTTAACTTGAGAACAAGGCAACGTAGGGTTTTCTAATTGATACCATAAGTCCATCTACTAAAAATCTTAGACGAGCTTGAATCTCAGTGACCTCAAGGTCAAGGCCAGAGGTCAAGTTTTCTTTAATCATTGCATTCAGAAGATTTTCAGAAGGAATTCATCTAGGATTTTCAAATTGATACCATAGGTGCACGCTAGTGATTCCTGAATGTCTCTACTTTGCGAAGAACCAAAACAAATCTTCTTTTTCCTCACTTCTTCTGGAACGCCCTAATTTCCAAGTTCCGACATCTGGATTCAGAGGTATCTGGAATGCAGCATCATGCACAGTTTTAGAGGCTCAAAAGTGATTGGACAATTAACTTGGAGGCCATGTCTTGGCTAAGGGAGGCTCGTTCCTTTGTTATTTCATGACAAACTAAGACGATAAGAGATCTGGAGTTGATTCAGAGCGTTGAAATTTGCATTAGCTCTCAAAAAGAGGCACAAAGAGGTTAATGAGGGAAGCATTATTAGGCTGACAAACACAAATAAAGCTGTTAGAGAGACAGCAATCGGCATAACAGAATGGATGCACTGGCAACACCAGAAGGCCTGAAAGATCACAGAGGACCGCTAAAGTGTCACAAAATGATCTCTGAACCAACAAAATCACAGAGTTATCTCCTTGGTTCAGAAGATCTTCACAGCATCTTACAGAGTCAGAAACATCCTGTGTTAGGTCGATGTATCGTTGTCAAAGTCTACAGTAAAGGGATGCCTTTCTTGTACAAACCACTGGTTACACTCAAGAACAAGAAGGCCAGATCTGAGGTTCCATGAAAACATCTGTTAAACATGTTATGGTACGGTTGTGTATGGCTACCAGTGAAGCCGGGTCACTAGTTTTTAGCAGAATGATGAACTGTGACGTGTACGAGGAAATTCTCTGTTCGGATTCAACCAAATGCTGTTTAAACTTTAGGTTTTAATATTTCACATGTTCTGTTTGTGCTGTTTTTATGTTATTGTATTTTATATCTGTGATTGTTTATAGCGAGCTAGTGTTTGTCCTCTGAAGTCTGAGTGTCTGTAAAATCAGTTTACTTCATATTTCTGCAGTTTTTGATTGTACTGTTTCTGTCTCACAGCCTCGGGGATGCTGATGGATCAGAACGACGTGCGATTGGCTGAGAGGCAGGAAAGGCGGACCCACTGGGTGATGGTCAAATGCTCGAACAGGAACATTCAAGTCGGAGAGCTGATCGACCTGCTGGAGGATCTGCAGCTGTTACGCCCCCGTGATGTCATCTTGAACTGTGAGTTTACCTCCAAACACTCATGACCTTTGACCCCGAGGGATAGTATATTAATGTTAATGCCACGGTGCACAAACTGGCTGCAGTTCAGCCGCGGTGCTTGTGAGATGGCCCTCGATGAATAGGAGTCAATAAAGAATTATTTACACCTGCATCTAGAAAAAAAAAGACCATATATTAAAAATTCTTAAATATATTTGTTCCCAAGTGTCTTTCAAAAAGGAAAATAAGGTTTTAAAATGTGTTGGATTTCACAGATATAAGCTGTAGGTGTTTACAGCTGATCACAACCAACATATGATGCTTTGTTTTGTAAATGTTTTTTTTAAGTTGTTGGGTTTGCTCAGAGTTGTTGTCCTTTAGTTATCACTTCATCTTGGATATGCTGCCTGTTAGGGCTGCTCGATATAACGATATATATCGGATGACGATATAAAAACGTCTTTACGCTATCGTTTGTTTTCATGTTTCTGCAAGACTATGCAAAGATAAGAATAAACTTGCCTCTTATCTTTGTGTAGTCATACCACATTAGATATTAA